TTTTTTTAATTGTGTGCATGTGCAGTTAATCTCAAAATTATTTGCCCTCCTGTAAATTTATTTTCTTTTTCAAATTTTTCTTCCCTAATGATGCATAAAAGAACAAGGACTTTTTCACAGTTTTTCCTATAATATTTTTTCTTCTTGAAAAAGTCTTGATTGTTTTTTTTCCCGGCTAGAAAAAAAGCAGTTTTAAATTTTCAAAATACATTTTAGGGTCAATATTATTAGCCCCTTTATGCTATATATTTTTGGATTGTCTACAGAACGGTCCTTAAACAAAAATTTGCCTAATTACTCTAACCTGGTGAATTAACCAAGTTAAGCTTTTCAATAGCACTTTAAGCTGAATACCAGTTGCTTGAAAATATCTAGTCAAATATTATATACTGTCAGCATAGTAAAGATAAAAGAAATTAGTTATTAAAACTATTACGTTAAGAAATGTGTTGAAAAAAATCTTCTGTCAAACAGAAAGTTCACAGGGGGCTAATAATTCAAGTGGACTAACAATTGAGATTTCAACTGTGTGTATGTAATTTCAAGTTTTTCATGCATCAAAATATATTTTGGAATGTATTCCAAGATCAAGAAAATGCATTTTAAACTGTGGACGAAGATCTGAAGTATCAATTATTTAAAATAAAAATGATTTATACTCTTAAAATAAGAGTAAAAGAATAGAGTAACAAATGATGCACAGCACAACACATACTTAAATATGTTTGCTTGTTACAGTGGCTGTCAATAAAAGTTTTATTTATTTTTCAAGTTTGTCATTTTCAGTTGAAGTCAGAATCATTAGGCCCCCAATTTCTGTTTGCACATTTAACACATTTATAACCATAATAGTTTTATTAACTCATTTCTAATAACTGATTTATTTTATTTTTGTCATGATAACAATTAATAATATTTGAGTAGATAATTTTCAAGACACTTCAATACAGCTTAAAGTGACATTTATATGTTTAACTAGGTTAAGAAGGTTAACTAGGTTAGGGTAATTAGGTAAGATATAGTTTAATGATGATTTGTTTAGTAGACTATCGAAAAAATATAGCTTAAAGAAGCTAATAATATTAATATAATAATATAATAATAATATAATAATTTTGACATTAAAATGGTTCCTAAAAAACAAAAACTGCTTTTATTCTAGCCGAAATAAAACAATTAAGACTTGCTGTAGAAGAAAAAATATTATCAGACATACTGTGAACATTTCCTTGCTCTGTTAAACATCATTTGGGAAATTAAAAAAAAAAAAAACAAATTCAAAGGGGGGCTAATAATTCTGACTTCAACTGTATAAGTACTTTTCAACTAAATACATATTTAAAAGTATGAGGCAAAATATCACATTTTTGTATGAAAATGTATTTATTTTTAAGAGCTTTCAAACCTTTTTTTTTCCAAATACATTGTAATATTTCTAACTTTAAATGTACTCCTGGCAAACTCTTGACTTAAAGTTTTGGTTCGATGTAAAAAAAGTAAAAATTTGTTTTGTAACTGAACACTTTTGGGCTTTACAATATAGGTATTCAGGCTATACTACATAAACATTAATCAACATGCAACTGGAAAAAAAAATTGAAAAAAAAAACAAAACTACTGAACAACGCCCATTCTTGTACCTTTGACTATACATAGTCAACATTAAAAAACCTTTCGATTTGAAAACTGTTCACAATACCCATTCAGTCTTTTTTAACAACTTCATACTCTGACTATAATAGGCTTATATATTACATTTTTAAATACATTTCAATATATATTTGAATGTGTATATATTTTTACCGGATGAGAAACTGCTGTGCTAAGATCTCAGGAGGGAATACACAGGGAAAGCTGGCGGTGGGTTTGTACATTGAGTGGGTCTGGGTCTGTTTCAGCCTGCTAGTGCGCTGAACTGAACTGTGTTGTTGTTTATGCCGTGGCGCCTCACTGGAGGGCAGAAGCCGCTCTCTCGGTGAATGGAAAGGCTCCAGATCCTCCCCCTTCGAGTAAATAGATCTTATCAATGAAAATAGTCAACCCTCCTCCCTGCTGCCGTTTTATGAATGAAAATACCAAACCGCGTTTTCGCCACGCATCATGGCTGTTATTGCACGCATTAGCATTTATAGTGCTCATTTTGCTAAATAGTGCTAGCTTTTATGCTTAAGTGCTCGTTTGTTTTTCTTTTCATTTGAGTTTATTTGTTGTGCTTCAGCAGTTCAGCATGCTACTGAGCCCCTTTGAATTATTATTTTTTTATATATATTTCCCAAATTATATTTAACAGAGCAAGGAAATGTTCACAGTAGGCTACGTCTGATATTTTTTTCTGCTGGAGAAAGTCTTATTTGTTTTATTTTGGCTATAATAAAAGCAGTTTTTAATGTTTAAAAAAACATTTTAAGGTCAAAATTATTCGCCCCTTTTTCGATAGTCCACAGAACAAACCATCGTTACAATGAATTGCCTAATTACACTAACCTGCCTAGTTAACCTAATTAACCTAGTTAAGCCTGTAAATGTCACTTTAAGCTGTATAGAAGTGTCTTGAAAAATATCTAGTAAAATATGTGCTGTTATCATGGCAAAGATAAATCATAAATGAGTTATTAAAACTATTAGAAATGTGTTGAAAAAATCTCTCAGTTAAACAGAAATTGAGGGGGAAATAAAGGGGGCTAATAATTGAGGGGGGCTTAATTCTGACTTATTGACATTTATAGCTAAAATACACTGATTGTTTCTAATACATGATGGTGCTAGCAATTCAGTTGTTGGTTTAAATGTCAGTTTAAAAAAAAATAATAATAATAATAATTTAGCTGGTTTATATAGCACATTTGAAGTACATACTTCAGAGAAGAGATTTGGTAATGACAAATCTGTAAGAGTCCAGCATTTTGGTAAATGTGACACCCAGGTCAGGTCTCTTCATCATGGCCAAGTGTGCAGCATTTTCCCATTCACGCTTGCTCTTCGCTAGTATTTTCTTTAGTCGCCTTTAAAAATGAATTTAAAACATTGTCCCCTCTGTAGCACATTGTGTGCCATTTAACTTACAGAAAATGGTTATAATTTTCTGTGTTAAATTCTGAACGCCCTAATTGTCTGTATACTGTGAATGTCTCTTGATCATCGAAAGACGGCAATTAGGAAAAAGCTAAAGGCCAGTGTGTAATGTATGCCATCTTGTGGACAAAGTCTGAACATATTCGAATACAAGATTGAAAAACGCAACCCAAAACTGTTTTTTTTTTTCCCAAAGATGGTCCACAGAAAAAGAAGCTTTTAGTGTTTATTAAAAGAAAAAAAAAATTCATAGTCAAATACATTTAGTAATGTAAAGAAACAATTTCCCCACAATTCTGTGAAATGCTTTTCTTTTAAATCAACTTGTCATCTGAATACCTTAATATTTTCTGTCAATGTTGTTCATGACAGCAGATCTTGCAGGTCAAAGTGGTCAAATAGTTTTGATAGTATCTTCTAGCGATTTTAGGTTGTGTTTGAGGCTATAAGCATATCCCACCATTCACCACATTTAGGTACTCCCGTGCTCATAAATCTTTTTGTATTGGTAATTCTAACATAGAGAGGTTCTGTTAAAAAAATAAATTAATCAATGATACTTTTAAACAGTTATAGTGAAATAGCTAAAGAAACTGCTTACTCAAAACTGAAAAGTTTCAGCCTTTGCATAACAAATGTTACAAAAACTTTTTTCTTCTGTAAAGGTTCTGAAAATGCTGCAAACCAGTTACAATTGACTTTCATTGTTTTCGTTTTTCCTACAATGAAAGTCAATGATTACCGCTTCAAATAACTTATTCTCAATTCAAAAACGAAAAAGGAAACACAAAGTTCAGGAGAGTAAATTTCAATCTGTGGTTAAACTATATCCCTTTAAGTATTCCACATTTTGGCTAATCACAACAGAACCCATTTTCATGCCTTAAAGATCAGAAATTTGTTTTGATTCTTCTATTATTTAGGTTTTCATAAAGGGAAAATCAATGAAGGTTTTTATATTAGGGTTCTTGGAATTTTAATGAAAAAAAAAATTAAGATTAAGATTTATTAGATTTGTTTAAATAAATCTTTAGCTTACAATTATTCAATACCATTGACTTCCATATATTTGTTGTTCATAATATGGACATTACCAGTTTACAATCTTTTTCAAAACATCATGTTTTTGGTGATTAACCAATCATTATTTTAGGATAACGCTTTAAACAGGATTAAAGAAACACTCCACTTTTTATGGAAAGAGGCTTATTTTTCAACTCCCTTAAGTTGTTTTACCATTTTTGGAATCCATTCAGCCGATCTTCAGTCTGGTGTAGCACATTTAGCAGCGATCCTTGAAGTAATGGTCTCTACACTGGCTCCCAGTTAGATTCAGAATAGATTTTAAAGTATTATTACTGGTCTATAAATCACTAAATGGCCCAGGACCACAATACATTACTGATATGCTGACTGAATACAAACCCAACAGATCACTCAGATCTTTAGGATCATATAAACTAGAAATTCCAAGAGTTCAGTCAAAGCAGGGTGAATCAGCTTTCAGCCACTATGCCCCTCACTGCTGGAATCAGCTTCCAGAAATGATCAGATGTGCACCAACATTAGGCATGTTCAAATCAAGACTGAAAACACATCTGTTTAGTTGTGCCTTCACTGTATGAGCACTGTGCTACGTCCGACAGATTGCACTATTTTGTTTTTCGTTTTCTTTTTCATTCTTTTATAACCTATTTTAACACATTTTAAATTGTTTTTATCTGTTTAAATCATTTTTATTGTCTGCATTTTATGTCCAAAACTTGTCTTTTTATTCCTGTTTATGTAAAGCACTTTGAATTGCCACTGTGTATGAAATGTGCTATATAAATAAACTTGCCTTGCCTAATGGCTTACTTCATCAAAAAAGATGAACTTCAAAACTCGTGAGAGCAGTATTACATTCATTAAAACACACACCAATTTGATTTACTCAAAACATTTTACTGGATGAAAAGTAACGTACATCTCTTTAGGCTCACACAGTCGCTTAAAAATTAACCTGACCAATAAAAGCAAAAAAAAAAAAAAAATGACAACAAAAACATAGATGCTACCATGTTTAAAGGCCTTAATCCAGCACATAATTGCAGATGTGATGCTCTGAAGCCTTTAACGTTGGGGAAGGATGAAAAAACAAACAAACATTAGTTGAACATCTCAGGCTCCCAAGAATAGCAACATTGTCTGGATTCATTACAGTAATTCTTCAACCGATCTTCTTGTGTTTACGCTCAGATCTGAATGAGTCTGCATTAACCTTCACCTCATCAAACACACATCTAACATGGCGGATTTGTAAGTAGAAAACTTGAGTTTGAAAACACACAACGAGAAAAAGAAAATCTCTCACAATCAGTTCTTCAGTGACAAAAGCAGCGCTTCAAACTTTCACATCGACTTCAGCTATAATCCCCCTTAATAAAATTAAATATTTAGAATTCATATGAAGGTACTAAACACTAATCGAACTATTGCTGCTTTTACGTCTTAGCAATAACTTCTTACACCTGTAATGCAAGCCAGAGATTAGTCATATCATCAGAAACTTGCCACATATTCTTCCAAAGTTGATTCGGGACACATTAACCTCTAAAAGAGTACTTTTAAAACTAATCGATATTTTAACTTTAAAAATCAAAACAGCTGTACACCAGAATACACCGCGAGAATCTATGTCATGACTATAATGAAATGAAATGAACTGAAGCACCACTTATAAATCTCTAAGCATATTATATTACAGTATACGTCCTACTTAAAGATGTATGTTTACATGAAGATGAAAAGAAGCCTTGAGAAGTCCAGGACAAACAGAGCAAATCACTAAAATTGCTTAAAAACTATTTTTCCTTTTTGTTTTCCTCAAAAGATGACAGAAACGAAATAAAAATCACTCTTAAGCTCTCAAAAAACAAACATTCTCTCCAAACGTTGCACACTATCAACTTCAACAGCTTTGCACTGCACAGACATTCAATAAACACAAAACACACTTGAGCATTTTAACATAAAAAAAAGCAACAAACAAGAATATCGATCGCATTTAGAAAAAAAAAAAAACGTCTCCTGAAACCACCTTCGGAGCCTGCGCTTGCTTGTGGAGATTATGAAAATGAATTCTTGTAAACTGATAATAGTAACACTAATAAACACAATCCTAACACTGGAGAAAAATGCAGCACTAAGTTTTGCCTCAGGGTTTTGGAGAGGAAAAATGGAGTAAAAAAAAAAGTTGTGGAAGATTATTGTGGTCCCTCAGCGGTGAAAGCGTGAGAGTGACAGAAGGAAGAGATGCTGTGTGGAGAAAGAGCTGGTATTAGGAGATGCACAGTGCAGACACACATTGACCTGTGCCTAAACAGAGGAAGCTTGTCACGAATGAGTGGAGGGCAGAGGATGCTGGAGGCGTCTTCTCACTCGTAGGCCACGTTGAAGCTGTCCCACTCCGCGGGATCCTCCAGGCAATCCTCATTGGTGGGATACTGGTAATCAGGCTGGTAGTTGTCAGGTGGAGGGGCGAACGCATTCGGACCTTTCTTGGGCTTGGCACTGTCAAAATGGGAATTTGTTTTAGTTTTTATGCATCCTCAGCACACACAAAAATTCACAACAACAAATATTTTTATGCTGCTTTAATTTATTTTAATCAGGTTTCAACAAGTTATACAAAGTTTAATAGTTTTAGTCAGTCTAACTGATGCCAGTTGTGATTACTAGAAAAGTTTATTTGATTTAACTAGAGCAGAAAGTTGGGTGCCAGAATGCAGTGGCTCATAAAAGCCACAATTTTACTTATTTTGAACAATTTTAACAAACAAACACAAAAATATATAGAAATATGTAAAAAAAAATAAAATAAAGAACAGAACAAACAGGTCACCAGAGATGTCACATCTAGCATTTACTCCAACTCAGGGCTTCTGGCCGGAATAGCAAAGTACACTAAAGGAAGTCGAGCATTTTCATATATGGCTCCTGAAATAGCCTCTGGAATAATTATTAGAGCTATTGGTAACTATTAAATTTATAGTACAGGGCTTTGCACTAATATTATTATACATTATACATATTATTATATAATATCAATATTATTATTTATTAATTTATTATATTTATAGTTCTTATAAAGAACAGCTGAATCTGCAAAAATTGGTATGGACAAGAAAATTGTAATCGGTGCATCTTCTACAGCTGTGTGAACTTTTTCCAATACTCGTTCCCTTTGCTGTTTAAGAAAAACAGAGATCAACCCTAGCTATGACAATGATGTCAGATGCGCAGAAATGAAACCTCAGACATTAGGGTGGTTAAATGATAACTAGTGGTGTAAGGGAGCACAAATTTCACAGTTCGGATCACACTGCGGTTTTTGAGTCACGGATCAGATTTTTCGGATCAGCAAAAAAGGAGGAGACAAATGTCATTTGCTTTCTATTTATAAAAAATAGTACAGCAAAAACCATTGGCTTTAACAAACAGAACTTGGAACCTGTAATGTTAATAAACATATAAAATTCAAGAAAAATGCAGCTTAAAAAGGAAAAGTATTCAATACGAAATATGATCTTTGCTGTTACTGTTGCTGATAATGCTAAATATAGAAATCTAACATCCTGTACACCATATCATATTTATTTTCAATGAATGATTCAACAATTCACAAATAAAATTAAACTTTAATTTCCTAGTTACATCAGTGTTTATATCGGAGCTATAAACTGTTCTCCCAGTACTCCTGTGTTATTTAATTGTTTGTAACTCACTGAAAGTGTAAAAACTGAGTCTGTCTTGATCAAACGCAGATTTGAATGCAGCACTTTGAAGAATTAATTAACATATGCAAATTCTTATAGTTTATGTTACATGGGTTTGAATTGAGATCCCGATTTTTTAATGTTTAATTGTGCAGCTTTACATTGATTGCATTAATGCAGGCTAAACAAACAGTGACAGAAAACACCTTTAATAATAACCTAAGAAAGCCTTGAGGTAGGTCCCACCACAACTTTTTCAATCATCATTATATTTTACGGGGAAGCCAAAATGCTTTCATACATATGATTTGAATGACGCGGGAGGCGAACTCTCTGCAATTGTTATAAATGTTGGATTAACCTACAACTTCAAAAAACAATATTAATCCACGGGTCACGTGCGCTCCAAACTGTGATTTGTGATCGGTTGCACCCCTAATGATGACAGATGTTTTATTTATGAACAGCCCTTTAAATATTTGTCAGCACTAGATTATGGCATCGGTACATTGTGTATTTGTGTATATAAAATTACTGCATGATTTGGGACAGCCTGTTTCTAACTGTTTTTCTGAAACGGAAAATATTAAATATTTAAAGCTATGTTTCTTCTTTTTATATGAATAAATGCTCTCCGTACTTTTGTAAGTTATGTAGCATAACAATATTGCGTCATTTAAGGAGAAATAAAATTGTGCACGTTCCTAAATTTTTGCACAAGTGCTCCTAATAAAAAAATGTTATCGCAGATTCCTGATATGGCTCATAACTCTGGAAAAGCCTCTGGAATAATTACTAGTTAAAGTTATTAGTAACAAATTAATTTATAGTAACTGATTACTATTACTAACTAATTACTAGTAGCTTTTCTGATTTTGATTGTAATGCAATAATGTTCACCTTTTGAAAAGCTGCTTTGAAACAACAAACAATACAAATAAACCTGAATGAAATAAATCTTTTCAGGCGGGCGACAGCATGATTACTCACTGGTTCTTGTGTTTGGAGCCACTGATGTGGGCTTGGTACTGCTCCACTGAGTTCAGCTCAATATTGCACACAGTACATGGGTAGCCCTTCACTGTGGAGGCTGAAAGAGAAAGGAAAAACATTTCATAACATTTACTAGTGTTAAAAATAAAATAAACAAAATAAATTTACAGGCACATCAGTATATTTAAATCAACCACACTTTGGTAACATTACAACTAGTACTGAAACATTTGAATGCCACAACCAGATTGCCCAATTGATTTTTTATATACTCTGTACTATCAGTCCGCCCACTCTTTTCTCTTCTGTTGCTGAGTTACCAACACATGACTGCATGTCTTTAAAAGGCCCCTGTTATGCAATTTTTAAACAATAGATGTACATCCATTCAAAGTCAAAAACAGCTTAACTTTATACACCCATTTTAATAGTGTCTAATTTTACTTTTATTGTGAGCCAACTGATTGGTCAGATTACTCACTTTGTTGTAGGACTGCACGAATAATCAAAAAAAGGTCGCAATCTCTATTCGACACTCCAGATCATCTTAAATCAGCATTTCTAAAATTCAGCCAATTATAATTTTAAGGTCAGGAGAGAAGCATAAAGACGGTCACAAAAGTGCATCTGGAAAGTATTCATAGCAATTCACTTTTTCCATGTTTTTTATGTTACAGCCTTACTCCAAAATGGAGTAAATTCATTTATTTCCACAAAATTCTAGAAGCTCTAAATTGAGCTCAGCTACATTCTGTTTCCACTGATCATTCTTGAGATGTTTCAGCAGCTTATTTGGAGTTCACTTGTGGTAAATTCAGCTGATCTGACATGATTTGAAAAGGCATACACCTGTCTTTATAAGGTCCCAGGGTTGACAGTGCATGTCAAAGCACAAACCAAGCATGAAGACAAAGGAATTGTCTGTAGACCTCAGAGACAGGATTGTCTTTAAGCACAAGGCTGAGAATAGTTACAGAAAAATTTCTGCAGCTCTGAAAGTTCCAATGAGCACAGTAGCCTCCGTTTCAGTAAGTGAAAGATGCTTGGAACCACCAGGACTCATCCTAGAGCTGGCCGGCCATCTAAGCTGAGTGATCAAGGGAGAAGACGTGTATGGTAGAGTGGCCAGAAAGAAACCACTCCCCACCTGGAATTTGCCAAAAGGCATCTGAAGGACTCAGACCAAGAGAAACAAAATTTCCAAACCACACCACCAAAATATCAATGGAGTGGCTTCACAACAACTCTGTGATTGTCCTTGAGTGGCCCAGCCAGAGCCCAGACCTAAATCCTATTGAACATCTCTGGAGATATATGAAAATGGCTGATAGAGCTTGAGAGGTACTGCAAAGAGGAATGGGCAAAAAGTCCCAAAGACAAATGTGCCAAGCTTGTGGCATCATATTCAAAAAGACTTGAGGCTGTAATTGCAGCCAAAGATGCATCAACAAAGTATTGAGCAAAGGCTGAGAATACTCATGTACATGTGATTTAATTTCAAAAATTTTGAATTTTGAGGAAAATCAATTAACTTAATCCATTTTGGAATAAGGCTGTAACAAAAATGTGGAAAAGGTGAAGCACTGTCAATACTTTCCGGATCCACTGTATTTAACATTTGATGATTTATCATTTAACAGCTCATTAGTTCATAATTTGGATAATTTAAAATGCTTTTATGCTTTATTGTTACTATTTCTCTATCATTATTGCTTTTAATATTAGAATGATTATTATTTCCATTACTTCCTATTGTTATATTCCTATGATCGTCTTTAAAGGGGTATTTGTTTTCATGAGTAATAGATCGGAGAACATCTCCATTTCAAGCTTTTCAAGTCACTGGATGATGTTGTGAAGCAGTGATTTTTCCATTGGTCTCACTGGGTGATTAGTAATTAATAACAGAACTTTAAATAATTCTCTTAAATAAGGTCTACAAAGCAAATCATTCTGCCAATAGCGTTACTGGTGTGAAACTACCTTAAACTATTAGTGTGTAGTTAGAATTAGCTGTCATGTTTACAAAGCTACGTATAGACCATTTTGAGCGATGTAAACAAAATAATGGTCCCAACGCATTTTCTGTTTTATATTTTTATCTACTATAGTGTCCGAGAATCCATAAAGAGCCACATATTGACATATTAATGTTATGATAGCTGTTTTATAACATTAATTTAGATTGAATTGCCCCATGTTATAGTTAAGAAATAGTTTTATAACAAGCATTAAATGTTCATGGGCCAATGACATGACCACATTGAAATGGTTAGATCTTATATTGGTGGCCCATCAATGTTTCCAGATGTTATTAGAACACCTGGATGTGTTATTGAAGCGATTCACTTGAAATTAAACTTTGAGAAAAATGTACATATTTTTGTGTGAGCTGACCTGGTGCAGTGGAGGGCCCAAAGGTCTCCATCAGCTTCTGTTTATTCATATGTTTTTTATGCTTCTTGCCACTGTAGTGTTGCTGAGCCATGAGGGGATTGTTGAAGGAGGCCTGGCAGATGGAGCAGAAACGGTTGGGGTCCTGCTCTGCTGGCCCCTGCATACCGTCATCCTTTTTCGCCTGCGCTTTGGGCTGAGGTAATGCTGGGGAATAAGCCAAAGCACAGCAGGTCAGATTTTCAGATGAAACCATTTCTATCCATGTTCGAATGTCCATGCTATGCCAATATAATACATATCAGTACATGAAACAAAGTTAAATTAAATATTATGCTGCGTTACATAAAATAAATACAAATATTTCACATTTTTATAACAGTGTAAAAATGTCTTATTTGAACACTGAAATCTAGAATCAAATTTCTTTTTGCAAAAACACTCACTTTACGACTCTACTAAAAATAAATGGTGCGTTCTACTTCATGCAGTGCTGCGCAGACCGATCGAAGTCTGTCTTAATGCGGTGCATGCCCAGGGCTCAACTATAAGGACTGCCCGATGGCCCAGGCCCAGCGTGACAGATGCTCGGGACAGTAGACAGAATCGTTGCTGGCCCGATCGGGGTGCTGCCTTGTCACTAAATTTAAATAGATGGCAACATAACCGTAACATCAAATCATGAGGCTAAAAGAAAACGTCCGTTTCTAACGTTGTGGAAACATTTAAATGGGTACAGCACAAAAAAAAAAGTGATGTTTTGCATAGTTTGCCGTCACTTTTAAGTCAGCCACCTTTTGTTTTACAATAAAATACCTGCGCATTTTCCATAGTGCTATGTTTTGCTGCTAATATTAATATTTTAACATTTTTCAAACATTTAAATTCTGCATTCACATACATTATTTTGTGACACATTATTTAATATATGTGGCTAATAAATAGCAATTAACTTTTTTTTTTTTTAGCGGGGCCAGTGAAAATTTTGGCAGGGCAAGTAAAAATCTGAACCACTGGTCCAATCGGGCCAGTTGAAAAAATCCTTAGCGATGAACCCTGATGCCGGTTAGAAATTTTGTCCGGATTGCCGCTGCGCAGACGCCACGTGACTCTCACATGTGGCATTAAAGTCCAGCGACAACACTCCGAGATCAGATGACTGATTCTGCCGGTGCAGCATCTGAAGAGTGACTGCAGGAGCTGAGATGACTACAGTGATATTACACGATTGGCTGGATTCACCGCATGACAACAGCCACGTGTGTTGTCACACAAAGTTCAAAACAAACAATTAACTTTTTATACCATTTCTATCTTGTACACATCATGCTTATTAAATAAATACAAATATCTTGTTGAAGTTTCATCTTTCGCTAAATTATTTGTTCATAATTACTAGATTGTTTGCATAGGTTTATATTATCTTTTTTATGCAGACTATTTACTGTATTCAGCTCCATAAATGATTTAAATGATATATTTTAGTCAATAACCTAAATAATAACGCAAATAAGTCTTACGCACTTGAAATAAAATAATTATCATCACTGATCCTGACACCCATATAAAGCTTTCCTAAAAAATTAAGTAAAAAATATATATTTTATAAAATATAAAAATATATGATTATAAAATATTTTATTTCCTGTCTAGCCGTTAATGCAGAAATTTTAAAAGTGACACTGATGTACCTGCTCTTTCTGGGAAATTTCTACTAAGTGTAGATCACTTATTTTAGGAATGTCTTTTTGTTTAATCTATTTGGATTAAAGTGCTTTTTTTAATGCTTTAATTAACTAAAATTATTTTAATCATTGTTTAAGACAATCAAAACACCTTGATTTGGGTTTTACACTAATATTGGAAAGTTTTATATTTATAAAAGTAAATAAATGTAAACCCTTTTTTAGCAAAATTCAAACAAGCAGTGGAACAGTATTTACATGCCATTCACAAGGTTCCATTTTTACTACTAAAATTCAGTTTAATTATTAATAACTTTTCAAGGACATTCAAGTATATTTTCATGACCTAATGTTTAATATAATGTCAATGTATACATGGTAAAAAAATAATACAAAAATGCACGTTTAAATGTATTATAGCATATCATAAAACACACAACAATCTATTTAGTTTGAATTTATTTTTTATATCTATTATATGTAAGAATTATTTAGATAAAACTTACACATGAAAGTTTTTTCCCGCTGTGTCGCCTCTGAAATTGAGACTAAGCCAAAGGAAAATTAATGAATGAATGCTTACACAGTATTTATAATGTGAGATCATGTTTTTGGCCAAAGACAGAAATGAAGTAAAGAGAACTATTTTATTTATCTGTAAACCTATAAACAGGTTTACAGATATTTGTTAAACTAATTTCCATGACTTTTTCAAAACTTTTTTTTTTTTTTTTTGTTTTTCCAAAACTTTTCCAGGCCTGGAAAATGCCATGTAAAAATTCAATAACTTTTCCAGGTTTTCCATGATTGTATGAACCCTGCATTCAACATCTAGTAGCCTAAAGACTGATGTTTTTCCTAGAATTTAAGCTAATTGATTTGTTTACAGGCCAATTCATGGATATTTATTTCCTTTTTAAGTGCCCTCTCGTTTTTTCCCTATTTCTCTTATGTGTTTGTTAAATAGGCTACTTAAATTTAATTCATAATTCCCTTATGGTTTAAAAATGAACTACAGTTTGTTCAGAGTGTATTCTGTTTTATTTGTAATCCTTTGTTGTTTGTTTGCTTTTGTTGTTTGCTGTATTCTGTTTTATTTGTAATATTTTGTTGTTACTGCAATAAATAAATAAACAAACAAACAAACAATCACGCCATCTGCAGCAACTTCGATCCCCAAAGTGTCTGGCTTTACGCCTCCATTTTCAACACTGCCCCTGCTCGGCTAATCTTGTTGATTGCCGGCTGCAGGCGTGCTTAATGCCGAACGCACCTGATCAGTTGAGTTTTACTATTTTTGAATCCATTCAGCCGGTCTCCGTGTCTGGCAGGAGCACTTTTAGCTTAGCTTAGCATAATTCATTGATTTGGATTAGACTATTAGCATTTCTTTCAATAAAGAAAGAAAAAAAGTTGAAAACTCTACTATTTGCAAAAGCTGATAATTTGTAGGCTGATCTATACTCTCATTTTAGCATAATAATCAATAAACTTTGTTGTCATACCATGTCTGCATGTAAGCGTGCTCCCACCCAGAGCAGACCCAGAGATTGACTGAATGGATTCCAAAACTGTAAAATTCAGCAGTTTAACTCTAGGTGACTTGTAAAAAGAGCCTATTTCCCAAAAAGTGGAGTGCTCCTTTAAGTCAAAGCCATTTAATTTGTCAGATAAGCATTGTTTGCATTGTAAAATACAAACAATATTTCTCATTTTCATTAAAAACAGTATTTTGCATTGTTCAATTACCAAGCAAAAATATCAACATATTTAGGCGAATACATGAATAAATATGAAGCTAACCAAGTCTTCTTACCAGGAGTCTGAGAGCCGATGCTCTGCATGCGAAGATTCTTGGAGTGAACTTTGCCCTGGTAGTGGGACTGTGCCACCACCGGGGAAGAGAAGGTCATGTTGCACACACTGCATGCTTTGTATTTGTCCTTTTCATCAACATTACTCTGCTGCAAAAAATTACGTTTCCCATTAATGCAAACCCCCAGATGTATCCACAATCTAATATTCAAGAAGTCTCACTCCCATCAATACATTCATGTGACTTACATCATCTCCTGAAGGCTTGAACCGTTTCGCGATGGGCTCCTCGCTGCCATGAATGCTCATGTATCGGCGTACTTTGCTTGCATGTTTTTTACTCTGCAGGAAGAGGCAGAAAATTAACATTAGAAGTTACTATAGTTTAAAGTGACAAAATACTCAACCTTGTGAGTTTCAAACTACTTGTTTCAAACTTTTATGAATTGTTTTTTTTCTGTTGAACACAAAAGAGCATAATCTGAAGAAAGCTGAAAACCTGTAACTACTGACTTCCACAGAAAGAGGAAAAACAAATACAATGGAAGTTGGTGGTTACAGTTGATCAGCTTTCTTCAAAATATCTTTTTATTGTATATATTTAACGGATGAAAGACATTCATAAAAGGTTTGAGACAAGTAAATGGAGAGTAAATGAAGACAATTGTCCTTTAACAAGTCAGTTACTATAATGGAAAAATGTGTAAAATACACTCTTTCAGCCGTTTGAGAAAAAAATCCCACAACCTGTATTATTTCAATAAAAACTAAATATTTTAAGACATTTTTAGGACCAAGTTAAAGTAAATGCAAAAAATAAAGTGAAAGAAATGTAGAAAATGAATGTAGTAACAATGACTACAGACACAAAAATTTTCGCTAGCATCAAAATTCACTCTCTTTAGTGCAACCAGAGGCATATGAATGGCTCAGTAGTCATGACGTGAAGTAACCAATGCATAGATGAGAATTGCTGTTATTGGTTGCGAGGGAACAGCGGAGACGTGTAATATTACGAGTCTCACAATTTTATTTAGGTTGTCTGAGAGTCTTCATGATACCATCTTTACAAATTTCTTTTAATATTTAAGCAAAGAGAAATGCAAAACAAAATTAGTTGTACTCTCCCATTCACTGAGTTTGCGCTCGATTTTTACCCAACTATGATGATTTTCATTGCTGAGAAAACCGGAAATGTGAAAAGGATTCATTCCTTTTCTGGACTTTGATTGTCACAGGAGCGTTGCTGTCTGAAGCCTGGTTTATACTTGACGCATCTACTAGAGCAGGGGTGGGCAAACTTGGTCCTGGAGGGGCGGTGTCCTGCACAGTTTAGCTCTAACTCTAGTCTAGAGACTTCAGCAAACAGTTCATGCCAAGCCACATTTGATTTGAGGTTAATATGAATCACTTTGAAGAGATTTTGTCTGAAACAGTTACAATTGTACAGACTAGGGATGGGCCAGTATAAGATTCTGATGGTATGATAACCTTGGATAAAAATATCACGGTTACATGGTACCGTGATTACTGCTCCAAAAAAAGTTCTTTTAAAACATCTTGTTAAAAATATTTCCTCATTTTTTTTTTTTGAAAAATGTATAATCTTTTGGAGCTCATGTCGGGCTAAATAATTTAAATGAATCATGAACTTCATTTGTTTCAAAACCACAGATTTCATTTTTTTTTTTTTCTGCTGGAGATACTGTTGTCCTTAAAACAAACAAACATCAACAACAAAATACCTTAGGAACGGTATTACAGAAACTTTTGGCAGTTTTAAAACCTTGACTTTCTTAAACAGCTGTATACCTTGAAAATGGTTATCGCCCCATGCCTAGTAAACACATCTTTAATATTACATAACCAGATGACCAATAAATCTTGGCTAGAAATTGCAACAGTCGTGGAAAAGGAGGAAAGTTTTTGTAAAAGTTTAGAAAAACTTGAGGAATAAGTTTGTTAAAACCCAAAAGGGGCCATCGCAAAAGTGGAGACCCAGGTGGTTTTAATACACAATTACAGAATATTTTACAATTTTGAATTTAAAACCATTTAATAATTACAAAACTAAAATGAAGTAAAATATTATTTCTTTGATAATTGGATAAGAATATTTGAACCTGTCGGTTTAAAGGACACCTATGGTGACAAATCTACTTTTCAAGCTGTTTGGACAGACGTGTGTAAGTATAGTGTATATACCGTCATATTGGGGTGATATAAACACACACAGTCCTTTTTTTCAATTTAACAACATAAAAACAGTGGACCAATTGGAGCGGTTTTCAGAGCGACCGCAACTTAAAGTAGGGTCCCCCCGCCCACCAATATTGATTGACAGGCACGTCACCATACTAAGTTTTTTGTTTCACATCCGCCATTTACAACATGTGAGTCAAAGCGATATCACCAAAGGAACACCCTTGCTCTATTTTTTTAATGTAAGGCTCATTGGGCTCAACACAAGATCAATATTCTCCACATTCTCGCTCTAATTGGAATTACTGTTTGTACCTTTTGGTAGGTTTGCAAAAATTTGTACTTTTCATTGCGTCTACCTTAAACTTCAGCTGTTTGCATTTCTTGAACACATGAGCTCCCTGTGATCTTAGGTGCAGCTAAGTTATTTCAGTGTGCGTGGTTATTAGTCTCGGTGTACAAGCTCGGAATTTGAAACTAGCAAACAGTTGGCTGTAAAACTATACAGTCACAAGTGATTTTGTACTCTCTGCTTGGTCTGTGTCCGAGTCGTACATGTACGGCTGAATGCTGATCCTAGCTAAGCCTCTCTCTGTCTGCCTGTCTGCTGGAAATACACAGCATGGGAGCTCTTAGCTTCGCCCCCTTGTTACGTTGGGCGGGAAGCCGAAGTTAATTTTCATGTGAAGCAACACGCCCCTAAAACAGCGAGCTGTGTACACGCCCCCAAAATAACACTTTTGAACACATTATAATTAAAACATCTGAACTGTATTTTGAACTGAACCTAAACTGGCACACTTAGAAGAACCATAATATTAATATTAAATCATAGAAAAGGGGTAAACTATGTGCCCTTTAAAATATACTGATGCCTTCTTTTTTAGGTTTTATTGGTGATAATGGTCAGGAATGTTGGACCATTATTGCCTTTTTAGAATATAGAGGACAGAAACTAGTAATAGAATTGATAGAACTGTCCAAAATATGAACAAAACAATAGCAAGTGATTCATCAAAGTTTGATTTAAAAAATCTTGAATGGTTATAAAAATCTTTATAATCATTAAAATAAATTATAAAAATAATACAACTAAATAGTTAAAAAATGTTAAACGATGTTAATAATAGGACATAGTTCCAGAAACGTTCTACTTTCCTGTTTATCCATCCGACTTTAACGTGGGTTCCTTTTGATCGCCCCCGTTGTTATAAATAATCTCTCAACGGTGGAAGCATCAAGTATAAAAGTCCTCGTCCGTTTTGCTAAGTGTGATGCCTGGCGAAAGTATAAATCAAGCTTAACCTCCTAGGGCTTGAGTGTCCACATATTTGGAGAGGACATTTTAGCTTTTTTCAGCGCCGACATGAGGGCGAGTAATTAACCCATTTTTTCCACACGCACAAAACCCAAACCATCTCTAAATAAAGGGTTTTAACTTAGGTCACCATTAGGTCAGTAACCCATAAGTGCAGCCATACTGATAATGTACTACTGTACTTTCAGTTTAAGCAGATGCTCTGCCAGTAACAATCTAATTAATGGGAAAAAAAACATGTGGAAGCTGTTAAGTAAGAGGGAAACGGTGGAATATTTTGACTAACAGCATTTAATAAATGGTAAAAGATACATGTGAGAAGTGATAAACATATTAGTCTAATATTTTTCACCAACTTGACTGGAAATAAACATGATTGTTGTCAAGACTCTTTCCCTGGAAATCCTGGTTCAGTTTATCTACAAGCACATCTTATACATTAGACAGGTTTCTTTTGTTATTCTGCTTGATTTGTTACTTTTGTCAGTCTATAGAGCTTTACTTATTTTAATCTGACTGATTAGTGCCGCCCAAAAACATGAAAATAACTGATCCTTTTCAGCAGCCATAACCCCCATAATATGAGAATTTCCAGTCAGTTCAGTGGATTTTTTTACATTGTGTGTCTCCAATATGGCTGACTGATGAGGTGTCTTGAAAACGCTTTCTGCACAAACCAAATGTGCTTTTTGCTAACATAGTTTTAGCCTTTGCTGCATTTGTTAAAAAAAATCTAACACATTTACATAGTTTTGATAAAAACACATTTGTTCATGAAAACATTTAGAATTTCCTATGCAGATTTCACAGACAAAGTTTAGTAAAGGAAAACAATGCTCATTATACATCAGCAAAACAAAACCAACAATAAATGGTTTTAGATATGTTGTAGTCATGGAACGATAACCGTTTTCAAAAGGTATACCGTGGTTCGGAAAAGTAAAGGTTTTAAAACTGTCAAAATTTTCTGTAATACCATTCCTAAGGTATGTGTACAATGTTTTATTTACCTTTTTAAAAAAAAAAAAAAAACAACAGTATCTCTAGCAGAAAAGATCTCCAAAGATTCCGTTTTAAATTGTAAAGAAATCTGTTTTAGAAACGAATGAAGACAGCAGAAGTCAGCCTGACATGTTTACTGCTCCAAAATACTTTAAATGTTTCTTAAAATAAAATATATTTCAAAAAATGTTTTTGTTTATTTTCCCAGACATTTAAAAATAATATATTTTAGAGCAGTAATCACAAGACTGTGATACTGTGATATTTATTTCCAAGGTTATTATACCGTCAGAGTCGTATACCCTAGCCCATGCCTAATATGTTGTGGATTAATTTTTCACACAGTTAAACTATCATCTTTCATGTAAAAGGGCCTTTAGTTTGGATTTAGCGCATGCTAAAGGTATTAAGTATTAGGACAGAAGTTTTGGTAAAGCAATAGTTCACACGATGGTGAAAATTCACTCACCAAATGAAGATATTTAAAAGAAAGCTGACAATCTGTAACCATTGATCTCCATAGGGAGAAGAACAAAATAAGGGACATTCTAAAAATGCTTGAAGGGGAAATTAAGCACTCAGTCAAGTTTACCTTATTTTGTATGTTGGATTCCACTTTAAGGAAAATATATTAAACAAACTTGATTAATGAAACCATTTAGAAGAAAACAGCATGTTTTATTATAGATTTTAGACCTAGGGCGCCGCCATCTTGGAATTTCGCTGTATCTGGCATCATGGGGTTGGTTCAGTTCCCTCAGCTGAACAGATTCAGTGGAAGGAGACTGTAAAGACTAATTTAACCCAATGAGTGAAGTTGTGGACGTAGAGCGGCTGCAAATACAAGCATCAGATATGCGTTTAAAATAAAAGTATTTATATTTATTTTGTTTTTTCACCTTTTAATTACCGATCATTTGATGTGCTTTGCTCCACTCTTTGTATTACGCTGCTTGTATAGCTTTCAACAATGATTATTACGGACTGAACACAGAGACTGGTCAGACTAATTTAACCCAATGGATAAAGTTGTGGACGAGCATCACAGAGCTGGTACAAATACAAGCATGTAAGTGTCTTCAGTTGTGTATTTTTCTTTTGCTTGATGCGCTGTGCTCCACTCTCTCACGCTGCTCTAGCGCTGCCTGACGAGGGGATTTACATTTTGACTAATGCAACGATTAAAATCATACATGACTTCACACTTTACTAAGTCACATTTTTGTGGGTTATGTCAAGACATATTCCCTTTACAAGTTGATCAACTCAATCTCAACATGTATGAAGGATAAAATCCTGCCACGTGAAACACCACGCCAGTCTTATTTTGGTTTGAACACGAGCAGGGGTGAGGGGCTGTAGCAGTGAAAAGTTAAAGTACCTACCCCATTACATCATATTACCTAACTGCCTGTGGTTTCAACTAGATCCGCTACTGACATAATGGGGGTGGGTACTTTCACTTTTCACACTGACTGTAGATCCTTTCAGAGGTGCACCCAGCTTTGTGAGTTAATCAACTCCTCCAGAAACTTAACCTGGATGATGGAAGCTTTCAGTGGAGCTTCTGACTGAGCAGAGCCCAGTTTGATCAACAGTTGTCCAGTGTCGGTTGGAGGATTTTGCCCCGAACACCAACAACAGGCACTATGTCATAAGCATGCCCCTACAAAAGAAAGCTATTGATTGTCCGCAGAATTAAACGTCAATCGCGCAAAACACTCAACTTGTGCCACTTCATTCGAGCAAAGCATGCCGCAGGATGTCTATTCGCGCCTTTGCATTGACTTAACATGTAAATCACTTGCTTGAAGCTTCTTCTGCGTCTGGTGTGAGCGCAGCATCAAGGTTCGTTAAGCTGTTTCCTTATAAATAAATTTAAAATGCATAAAGTGAAAGTTTTCACTCACTAAAATTAGAGCTCATTCTTTTGACATCAGAAAGTTTGAAAAAAGAAATGTGTCAAAAAAAATGTGAGTACAAATTCGCTTGTTGTTAAGGTACGTTTAGCTACGTTAAGCTTTTTCCTTATAATAGACTTCACTGGGGGAGAAAACTCTTTATATGATGTTTTTCACTTTATTTATGGAATTTATGCAATTTAACAGAAATTTAGGTTTCATTGGTTTACATTCAGGTACATTAAGCCAAATTAAGCTTTTTTCACATTAGGTGTTTTAGAATCCCCCAAATTACTACTAAAGTCAACGGTTACAGGATTTCATAGAGGTGAAGTTGGTTTTATATTCGCACATTTGGACTTACCCCTTAATAATATAATTTCGGAAAAGTATTATTTGCAAACTCTAAACAGTCATTGGCTGCTAATATGATTTCGCTATCAAAGAACAACATTGTTCACAGTGAAATAAACAGTATTAATGTTGTTTACAAGTCACACTTGCAGGTTATTTCATACCGAATATTGAAAATGCTGTAGTAAACAATACAGGGAGTTTGTCACAAGTTATCACTCAACGAATGTGTGAATATAAAACCAACTTTACCTACATCAGTATTTTGGCTTTCTTTAAAACATTTCCTTTTGTGTTCAGCAGACAAAAAACTCAAAGGGTGACTAAACAATGACAGAATTTTCAATTTTGGCTGAACTATCCCTTTAATAAATGACACAGTAGGGGTGTGTGTTTGACAGTACAAACCAGAACAATGTGACCTACTGTGTAATGGAGATCTGAACAAATTCAGCAGTGCATACATACTGCAGTCGTAATATGAGAAATATGCTAGTTTACCATTGTAAAAAGAAGCCTGAAAGACTTAAAATCAGTATTTAGACCCCAAACAGTCTTTTCAGTAAAGAACAAAAGGATGTGGTGTGATGGTAAACTTAAAGGGTCAAAATCTTACCTGGTAATGTGCAAGTTTCTGGGATTCTGAGATTAAGACGGCGCTACACACTTTACATTGAGAATCGGAGAACAAGTCGCTGTTCTCCTTTATCATTCGGTTCACTGAAAGACATGTCAGCATTGCACACAGTTACTACAAAGAGGCTTTTCATGATCAAATCCAAGAAACACAAACACAACGTTTTGGCGGCAAAGTACGCTACGCTAGATTTAAACCTGAAACACTTTCCTTGCGTTTAATCGCTAATTTGAGAGCGTGTCTTACATCGACCTTGGATACACTGTTCTTCACAGACACTAAAGCAGCAGTGCTGGAGCACCGGGAGACAGAGCTAGGCTAACGTTGCCATGCTTTACGCTGATTTACTCGCTCACGTGCTGTACATTGTGGCCATAAGTATCTTGTTTTGCTTGTAAACAATGTATCGAACATAAGGCTGTTTATTATGAATGAATGTTAGCGATTTCTTACCCTCGGCCGCCCCTGAAGGTAAATATGGAAAATCTCCATTTGGTTCTTGCTGCGCCATGATGTTTGCAGGAGGCGGATCGCGCATGCCCAGACAATACATGCGCTGAACAAGCCTCTCCATGCTGTACAAACCAACTGTTTTCATTTAATTTAATATTTATATATATATATATATATATATATATATATATATATATATATATATATATATATATATATATATATATATATATTCGAATTTATTTAAAGTACTCATGTTTGTTTTACTATTTAAATCTTATTTTCTGACTTAGTGCTGGCTGTTAATTTAGTACTTAGTAACCGTTGCTTTCCACTTTAAAATAGCTGTTTATTCACAAGGAATTATTCATATTTGTCTTTATATTCTTCATTCAACACATATTTGTGTTTGTTTTTATCTAAAATGTTTAAACTGGTCGTGTGCTTGACTGTAGAGTGACCGTTTGTAGATGATGATTGAATCGTTTTATAAAGTCAACTCTATCAGTGAATCATTTGAGCAGGACTCGAATCTATCTGTGAGTTGGTCTGAATCCATCGGTTGAAATTAAAAATAAAATATAGAATTAATAGCATCATGTCCCTAATAAACCTCGCTTAATATACCAATAACGTTTCTAAGAATCATATTTCTAAAAGAAAAGTTTGTAATTCTTAGTTATCGTTGTTAGCAATAACTAAAATTTATATAGTCTGTTTAAAAACAGATTAATTACTTAAAACTGACCATTTCCAACCAAAATAAAGCCCCAAAATGATCTATTAAATAATTTGATTATGTGTATGATGTTCTTTAATTTTAATTACATTAATTTTATGTAGTTGACATCGCATCCTTTTTCTGATTTACGTGTGTTTGAACGTCTAAAACCTTTTCTTTTATTTTTATAAAATTGTTTCGACATCCTAGTGTGAATGAACGAATCATTGAATTGAACTGAATTGAACCGGTTCATTGAAAACAAGCCGGTTTACTCTAATGACTCGAAACTTCTCTTGATTTTGCGCGCGCTGTCGGCTATGACGTAACATTTTTCCTTGTCCCTCATGTCACGTGACCTGACAACCGCTTGCGAAAATAGCTTCGAATCGAAATCCTTATTTCTGAAGCCTTTTACTAAGCGAACCAACACCGAAATGCCGAATATGAACACTGAATGTGTTTGGTAAAAGTTCATGGGTGGTTAAGCTGGAGCAGAGTCTCGGAGAGCGCGTCTAGGAGTGAGCAGAGAGAGAGAATTAATGTTGTTGAAGGCGCAGGATGCCCCGCCGGAAGCGCACAGGGGATGAAGGCGGAAGAAGAGCCAAAGTCAGCCGAGTGGAGCTCAATGAGGAGCCCCTGGTCATTTCTGATTCTGATCATGAAGAGGTGAGTTACTATACACGCAGCAGACAACAACCCAATGTCTGTTTGAGTTCGTTTATAGCTTTCTGGGTGGGCAAATCGGGATAAACAATAAGCACTCCAAAAAAATTACCATGGTAAAAGTTCTTTCTGCTAAATTTCAAAGTCAGAATCTCATACAAACCATTGACAGTGTTATGCTAATTACTCTCCAGTATCGTCACTACGCACAATTGCACAATTATTAAACAGGTTTTTCAAACATTTGCTCTTTTGTCATTGTTTTGCTAAACAGTCACCCCTAAACTCATACTCAAACTATTGGTTGAATGATTTAAGCTTATAATCGGAAAGACTTCAGAAAATGTATTTATCTATTGTAAGTTTCTGTATTGCTGGGGGCAGGCCTGGATTAAGAATTCAGCCGAGGCTTGAACCAGCGACCTTTTTGCTGTGACGTGAACGTGCTACCCACTGCACCACCGTGCAGCCCGAGTTCAACTTTGTTAAAAACTTTTTCTTAAATAAAAAGTCTTAAAATGTAAACATCACATGATGTAAATAAGTTGTCATAATAAGATATAGGTTAGATCAGGGGTGTCAAACTCAATTCCTGGAGGGCCGAAGCCCTGCACAGTTTAGTTCCAACACACTTACCTGTAGGTTTCAAACAAGCCTGAAGGACTCAATTAGTTTGATCAGGTGTGTTTAATTAGGGTTGGAACTAAACTGTGCAGAGCTGCGGCCCTTTTGGAACGGAGTTTGACACCTGTGGGTTAGATAGAACATTATAATTAAGGTGACGATACATTCCTGGGCAATCCAGTTTACAGAAACACAAAATTAGGTCACTTAACCTTAAACTCTGTTAATATTGTTAATAAATAAATGATTAAATTGTGGGATTATCGAACATAGACTTGAATTCTAAAACACATGCCTTAAAGCCTCCGAGTCTATTTAATTTTAGTAGTGTTGCATGGGCAAAGATTAATCGCATCGAAAGTAAAAGTTAATATTGACACAATATCTATGTGCGTATTGTGTATTTTTAATATGCATCTATAAATACACAAATGCATGCATATATTTGAGGAAATGTTTATTTAAATGTATTTGAAAATGTGCTGCAAATTTTATAAAAATATTTTAGCAAAAAAGAATGTCTTTTTATTGTTTTGTTTTAATATGTCTGCATACAGGCCCGGATTGGCTAATCGGGAGGACCGGGAGAATTCCCGGTGGGCCAGTCCGTTTTTTGCCCGCGAGGGCCGGTGTCCCTAGCTCCAGAATCTGTTGCTCTCAGCAGTCACACTTTTTAAATTAATTTATTTACTTACTTGACTACAGTCTTCTTATTCATTATTTTACTGCAGCTCTGCTCAGCTCGGCGTTAGATTACGACGCCGCCGATCCGGGTTTGATTCTTGTCTGAGTATGTTTTTTTTTTTTTTTTTTATTATAGTTTTATTGTTAAGACATATAATACTGTTAGGGTTTTTGAACATTTAAAGTTCTAAAGCAGCTGTTTTCTCAAAAAAAAAAAAAAAAAGACGTGATAGTGTAATTAGAAACTGAATTGGAAATGACCTTATTTTAATATAGTCAGTCGTGAACTGAGGTGGGCCGGTCTAAGGCTTGAAACTCCAGGGCTGAAAAAGAGTCCCACTCCGGCCCTGTCTGCATATACATAAACACACATACCTTATGTCAAAACAGACCTTTTTTATGTGATTATTATTGATTAATCTTTGCCCAGCACTAGTTTTTACTGATGCAACCATAAAAATGAATAATTTAATTCATAAATGTCAATATGAAAATAAGTCAACTCCAAACACCATGCAGCTTTAAATTCTACTCGTGGCATAAATAAAATAAGATAGAAACAACATTAAATCTGATTTAAATATTTACAACAAACACCCTTTTAATATGAAACCAAGAAATAAGACCCACATTTTTTGTGGCCTTCATTTTTATTAAAACCACCTAAATAAATAAATAGATATGTTATTTAACCTTTCAAAAATCATATCTGATTTATGAATTAGTTTGTTTGTGGTTTTAATTGTATATTTATTCATGGCTGACATGGGATTAAATAAAAAAATATATGATGTATAAGCCTTCACTATGACATTTATTGGCTAAATTGTGCTGTGCTGAGAGAAAAATAATAACTAACTTGAATATGGCTCTTTATTTTGTTTCCTGTTTATAGGAAGAAAATGCCAATAAACGCTCCTCTCGTTCAGTGCGGTGGAAGCGAAGAGAGAATGAGTCTCATTTACGAGGTACTGCCAATTACTAATAAATCATTAATTGTGCATGGAATCTGAATGTGTGTCTCATTCAGACTTTTCCGGTTCTGTTTGTGTTCAGACATGACAGAAGAGGAGATGCTGGCTCTTGCCATGAGACTGAGCGCTCAAGAAGCAAACTCTGCAGCCAATAGAGAAGAGCTGGAAGACAGCAACATTCAGAAAGCCATCGCAGAGAGTCTGAATGTTGGTGAAACTTTTTTTTTTTTAGAAAAGGCTGGAATGCACTACATGACCTAAAATCTGAACAAATTCCACCTATTTTTAAACACTACGTACAGCACAGAATCTGTACAAATTTTAACTGAACATTATACACTAAAAAACTGACCGTTGTTGTAAAGAAAGATCAATTATTTACCTTATATTATGCTTGAAACCAATTGCTGGTCAGTTTACTCATAAACCATCCTCCCAATGTAGCTGTGATAGAGATATTGCATGTTTAATGCACGACTGAACATATTGTTCTGCCTACTTATGCTGTTTAAGCAACAAGAATAACATTTGGAAGCTGCTAAATCATTAGTTTAGACTTAGCTGGATGCAATATTTTGACAAGCTGAATTTAATAGATATTAAATATATGTATGAACAGTACTAAATAAGATATTAGCCTAATATTTCACTTACTTGGCCAAAAATGAACAAACAGGAAAACTATCAAAGTCTTTCTTTCATTTCTTTTTTAATCTCTTCTGCTTGATTTTTTTTTACTAAGGCCATATATATATATGAAGAGTTCAGATGCAAAAGCCGCTAAACACCACTTCCGCCAAAAATGAGATAATGACATTGAGCAAGAGCTTTAGGCATGTAGTACATGTTCAACAGATATTTTTGCTTCAAATCATCTAAATCCCAGCGTCAGCACATTCAGACATAACAGTTTTTATGTAACAGCTGCTAAACGCCACTTGCCTTTGACAGCAAAAGCCAATATATTCCGAGAACCAATCAGAAAGCTTGAATCGAATCGTATGTTTTTAATGTAACAGCATGCTGATACGCCGGCTTTATGAGGAGACTGGTTTATTCTGCTTCTGCTTCAGATTTTAAAAGACAGAGTTTGATAAACTGGATGAGGCTGTCTGACGGTCAGTGAATGGCAAATAAAAATGTCCCATACCTCAAAACTCTGTGCATTATAAGAAAAAGAAAACGCAATGTGCTGTCGGAAGTGTAACATGCATTCATAAAGTTTTTTTGCGCTGCGACTCTACGTTGAAAGAGTCCGCTTTAATATACATTAAACAGCAACTGACTTTCACGAAAGACTAAGTTTAGATGCCGTTCTTTTATCCCACATGGATGCTATGAGGATAATCAAGAGACCAAAAAGAGACCAAGACCTTGAGTTTTGTGTGAATGAATCAAAGACAGCTTCTGAAAGTGTCTGAGAGGCATCCCCTTTTTCCCCAGTACCCTACCTTG